AAAAAAAAAAAAAAAAAAAGCAAGGATTTGCTCAAAAAAGGATGAAGACATGTAAAAGACAGCTTGAAGAGGCTCCTGACAGCCAATCAAAGACAATTTGAGCTTCAAAACAATGAGAGTAACAGATTATAACCTAATGATATAAATAAATTCAAAGTTTGATGAAAAAAAGGATGTTCATAGACTCAAAGTATCTCCCCACAAAATTCTCCTCGATTACAAATGGGGATGGAGGAGAGTAACGCCACGGTGTGAAACTCAGCAGACACCACCTTAATCAAGAGACCAATGTGAAGGCTGTCAAAGCAGGACAGAGGGGAATCATGGTCACCTGGTAGGATGCAATGAGAAGAGTTAGGGTCATTTCTGAGAGATTCTAGCCAAAAATGGAAACCCTGAACCTAATCATGAGGAAGCAGCAGACAAACCCAATTTGAGGTACATTCCAGAAAATAACTGGCTTGTAATCTTTACAAGTGTCAAAGTCATGAACCTTAAGGCAAGGTTGAGGAGCTGTTCCAGACTGCAGGGGACTAGAGACAAGAAAACTAAGGCAGCATGTGACTCTGAACTGGATTCTTTGTATAAAGGACATCAATGGGACAACTGGTAAAAGTTGAACAGGCACTGAGGATTAGATGCCAGTGATGCATCAACGCTGATTTCCTGGTTTGGATTGTCGTTCCCTAGAAGGAACGCCATTTTTGGTAGGAAAGAGTGTTCTGTGGTAACAGGACCTGATCAGGCTGGCAACTTACTCTTCAAATGGCTCAGAAAAAAATATTCTTTGTATTGTACTTCCAATTTTTATATGTTTGTGACTGTTTAAAAATTTTTAAAGAAATTTTTTATTTTATTTTATTTATTTATTTTTCCCCCAAAGCCCCAGTAGATAGTTGTATGTCATAGCTGCACATCCTTCTAGTTGCTGCATGTGGGACACGGCCTCAGCGTGGCCGGACAAGTGGTGCGTCCGTGCACGCCCGGGATCTGAACCCGGGCCGCCAGCAGCCGAGCGCGCGCACTCAACCGCTAAGCCACGGGGCCGGCCCTAAAGAAATTTTTAAGTTAAAAAAAGAGAAATGTCCACCTAGGACTTTTCAAAAACCCAGCCACTGAACTCATTAAAGTACACATGCACAGGGCAGCCAACTAGATGACCCGTTCTAGTCACTGTCTTGGGACCCTCGTCAAATGAATGTGAAAAGAGCGTGCGTGTGTGTGTGCATGTGCACGTGTGCATGTGTCCCAGCTAATCACAGGCAGAGAACCCCTCCAGTGCCCTTGGTACCTGGTAGTCAGGGCCTGACGCCCAGCTGTGAAGCTTCCTTGAAGGTGGCTGAGGTTCTGGCACCTTCCGGACGACACGAGTCATGCCAACTGTTTCGCCCCAGTCCTTTCCTTCCTCTTGGCCACGCCTGGCATCAGCACTGTCCACAGAGCTCATTGACAGCTGCCGCTGTCTCCTAGGGTCCCAAGTGTTCCTAGGACAAACCACACTGAGTGTTAGTTTTCCCAGTCGGTGCAAGCATGGTCTGATCTTACCAATCAGAGACCCTCTGAATCCCAAAGCCAGCTGTCTATATACCGATTTCCTTCATTAGACTAGATCTACTCCCGCTTATGGGTGAGAAGACATGCCCAGAACACCAAAATTCAGTTCCAACATTCATCAAGTCACGCACACACACAAAGCTTCAGGCAGGATGTTTCACATGCATTTCTTCATTTACCGCAAAAAAAGCCCTTGCTCCCCCCGTTTTAAAGAGCTGGTAACTGAGTCTCGGTGGTTGGAAGCTGTCCTCCCATGGAGGAGCTAACAGACAGGACCCAGGACTCACAGGTGAAGGTCCTTCTCCTTATACTACAGCTCCTCCCCTGTGCTTTGCATAAAGGAGACGCTTAACAAATGCTCCTCCAAACAGCGAATCATGAGGCCATGATAAAGAGAGCGAGAGGAGAGGAGCACGTGGAGCACGGAAAGGAGAGGAGATGACAAATGGAGGCTGCGGGAGGGCTCAAAGAGGAAGTCTGGGTAGGGCTCATCTTTACATGCTAGTGTCAACAAAGGCACTGGGGCAAAACACTTATGTGCATTTACTGAGCACCTCTTGTATGCAAAGGAAGTGCCCAGTAAACACAGCAGAGTTCAGAGAAAGGCAGGGAGTCGGGTCTGGCTAATATGGTGGGTCTGCGTGTGTCCACACACACATGTATGTGAGCTGGAGGGAAGAGGAGGCAGGCGAGGTGGATGAGGAGACCATGGCAGGGCAACAACTGCTAGTGACTCCTGACGTCACTCTGAGAGACATGGAGACCACAGTTCCAACGCTCCTGATCCTCCACAAAAGACCTGTGTTTAGAAGACGACTAAGGCACAGTGTGACTGATAAGAGGAAAAGAAGGAGTCAAGCTGGCTAACTTCTGAATGGTCCAGAAAAGAAAGGATGCTGGTCCCAGTGGCCCCAGAGACAATTAGCAGGAAGGGATGGAGTCAAGGGAAGTTTCAGGAACCCATCATGATTGGGGAAATAAAGATGTCAAAGAAAGCTTGGGAGTGTGTAGTACGAGTCCCTGGGAGCTGGAAATCATCAACCAGCTCAGAGAACACTGAAAAAAGAGCAGGCTGAGAGAGGCTGAGGTGTCTTAGTCATGGCCAGTAGCAAAACTGGGGCCAACAACCACGTCTAACTCTTTCAGTTGAACATTCAACTCACATCGACTGAAAGAGACATGGAACAGAGTGTCCCACTGCTCCGGGAAGTCTGTAAAATTTTATATCTTTGCCTTTGATTTAAATTCTTGATCACTTCTCCTTCTGAGCTTAGTGGTCCAAGAACTGACCCATGGATATTTCCCAAGTGCACTCAAAGCTTCAGTTGAAACCAAAAAGCATTAAAATAAATTACAGAAGCCTCAATTAGTGAATTGTTTGTGTATCATCAGAGAAAGAGTGGCAGAAGATGGGCACTTATTTCAAAAACTTTGAAGCAAAAGATGAAACAAAGAAAAAGACTTGCAGACTCAACTATATAGACATTCAATTATTGACAATAAAATAGACAAAGGGAAAATTATTAAAGCATTAATATCTAAAAAATATAAAGCATTAATTACGTTTTAAAGGAAAGCACAGTAAGTCTAATAGATAATGTACAAAGCAAACAGGCAATTCCACACAAAGAAAAGCATTCATATTTGCTGGTACCCAAAAAAATGCAAATTAAAGCAACCATAGGTCCTATTTTAAAAGTACTAGCCAGTGCTACTGATATTATGGTAAAAACTAGAGGGACTACAGTACAATGAAGTATTTTCCAAAGGGCATTATGAGTAAAACTAGTCCAACGAAACAATCCAGAAAAGAGAGAAAAGATTAAAGTGGTCAATTAAGTTTAGGAAATCTGGCATGCCCTGCTTACTGCTTCTCCTACCTCCCCAAAGATTCCCCACATGCTTCAGCATATACCAGGCCCTGAGCGACCTTGGAGTAAATGAGTAAGTTGAACCCAGGGTGGTTTCCCGCACTTGCTTGGTGAGAGAAGCCTTTCTGGGCACAACACCCACAAACAATCTGCGGAACAACATGCTCGGGAAAATACTGGCACGGTGGTTAAAAATCACTAGGACTCAGTCAGCCACGCCTGGATGCAAATCCTGGCTGCATTCCCAAACAACTGTCCTCAAGAGATCGTCCATTCATCCGCAAAATGGAAACAATACCGGCCCGTGAGGCTGCTGGGGCAACTAGGAAACGCACTTGGCATGGTGACCAGCACACGGCAGCACCAATAAGCACTGATGCATTTACACCCTACTAACGTCAAGTTCACAGGAGCGGTGCTATGAGCAGGGACGGGGATCCTTACCACTTTGGCCTGCCATCCTTCACAACTTCTTCCTCCTCTTCATCATCACTGAACTTCAATTTCTCAGAATAGTCCACTTCCTCATGGAGGCCTACAACAGGTGGGGGACCAGGAAGAAAGAGAAAAAATGAGAATCTCAGCAGTGCCAAGAGTGCCAGTGGGGGGCTTGCTCCAGTCAGGAATGATGCCAACCCAGGTACGGAGTAAGGCAAACCACCCAGCTGCCACCAGCAGAACAAACGTTGCAGATAAAAGTGAAGGACAGTTCTGGCTTCTGGTAACAGCAAAACAGCTGGTTAGACTAACGCTCCACAGATAACAGTTCTTAAATCTGGACAAAATATTTTAAAAATGTATTAGAAGGTGCAGGAGAGTGAGCAAAAGCAGGCAAAATCTAGTTAAGAATCTACCTTAGCAAGACAGAAACTTTACCAGTGAGTCTGTGAGCTACCCCAAGCCCTGAGCAGCTCAGGTGGCAGAAAGTGTCCATCGACTGATGAGTGGGTACATAAATTGTATAGAAATCCATACAATTGAATAGCATTTGGCCATAAAAAAGAACGAATACTGACACATGCTACAATACGATAAACGTTGAAAACATGCTGGGAGAAGCCAGATACAAAAGGCCACATATTACACTGTGTGATTCCATTTATATGAAATGCCCAGAATATGCAAATCCACAGAGACAGAAAGTAGATTAATGGTTGCCAGAGGATGGGGGCGGGGGCAGAGGAGTGCAGGTGGTAATTGGGAGTGACTGCTAATAGGTATGGGCGTTATTTTGTGGGTGATGGAAATGTTCTGTAATTGGATAGTGGAGATGGTTGCACAAACTTGTGAATATACTAAACATCACTGAATTGTAGGCTTTTAAAAGGGTGAATTTTAGGTTTTATGAAAATCTGTTACGTGAATTATATCTTTAAAAAAAGGAAACAACAAAAAGCTCAATCCAATTAAAGGTAGAGACAGATTTGATGAAAGAGCAAGTGCAGCTGCATGCTTACTAGATCATCACTTTAAATACAAACACAAATGGCTGAGAGGAAAAGGACGGAAAAAGACATACCATGAAAACAGTAAATAAAGTTAGAGCAATGATATTAACATAGGACAAAACAGACTCCAAGACAAGAAGCATCACTAGAGATAAAGGAGGACACGTGAAACAACACGAAGGGTCATAGGTCAGAGTCATCCACACTATGAAGTGCACACGCCTAATAACAGCTTCAAAGTACATGAAGCAGAAACCGACAGAATTAAAGGGAGAAACAGATAAAGCCACAATTAGAGTGGAGAGTGGACCACGTCACCGTCAGTAACTGACAGATGTCGACAAGAGTTATCGGTAAGCATACAAGGTCTGAACACCACTACCAACCACGCTGGCTAAACTGCTACTGACAGAATATGACACCCAACAACCGTACAACACACATCCTTTTCAAATGCACTTGGAATGGTCACTGAGACAGACCATATCCTGCTCATAAAACAAGTCTCAGGGGGCCGGCCCCATGGCATAGGGGTTAAGTGCACGCGCTCCGCTGCTGGCGGCCCAGGTTCAGATCCCAGGCGCGCACCGACGCACGGCTTGTCAGGCCATGCTGTGGCTGCATCCCACATAAAGTGGAGGAAGATGGGCACAGATGTTATCCCTGGGCCAGTGCTCCTCAGCAAAAAGAGGAGGATTGGAAGATGTTAGCTCAGGGCTAATCCTCCTCACACACACACACACACACAAAAAAAAAACAAGTCTCAATGAGTTGAAAAAAACTGAAATCACACAGAGTATGCTCTCTGACTATAATGGGATTAGAAATCTAGAAAGCTCCGATAATTAAAATGAATAAATCAATGAAACAGAAAACAATCAAACAATGGAGAAAGTTAAAGCCAAAAGCTGCCTCTTTGTAAAGACTAATAAAACTAGTAAGCCCTTGGTAGAAGTGACAAGAAATAGAGAAAAAACACAAATTACCTAATTATCAGGAATGAAAAAAGGTATATTACCACAGATCCCACAAACATCAAAAGGAAAAGGAACATTATCAACAACTTTATACCAATAAATTGAACTCAAAAGAAATGAACAAATCCCTTGAAAAATACAATTTATCAAAAACTGACACAAAACAACAGAGGAAATATGAGCAGCCCCATAACTAATCAAAGAAATTAAATTTACCATCAAAAATGTTTCCACAGGGGCCGGCCCCGTGGCTTAGCAGTTAAGTGCACGCGCTCTGCTATGGCAGCCCGGGTTTGGATCCCGGGCGCGCACCGACACACTGCTTGTCCGGCCATGCTGAGGCCGCGTCCCACATACAGCAACTACAAGGATGTGCAACTATGACATACAACTATCTACTGGGGCTTTGGGGAGAAAAACGGGAAAAAAGGAGGAGGATTGGCAATAGATGTTAGCTCAGGGCCAGTCTTCCTCAGCAAAAAGAGGAAGACTGGCATGGATGTTAGCTCAGGGCTGATCTTCCTCACACACACAAAAAAATGTTTCCACAAAGAAAACTCCAGGGCCACATGTTTCACTGGTGAATTGCATCAAGCATTTATGAAAGAACAAATACCAATCTTATGGAAACTTTTTCAGAAAGTAGAGAAGGAAGTGTCCTGTCCTGTCTGTTTTCCAGGTCATCTTATGAGCCCAGCATAACCTGGTACCAATACCCAAGTAAGATATTAAAAGAAAAGAAAATTATAGACCAATATCCACCATGAACATAGACACTAAGAATCTTAATAAAACATCAGCAAATTGAATCTAGGCATACAAAAAGGTGAAGTTTTGGGCCGGCCCCGTGGCTTGGCAGTTAAGTGCGTGCGCTCCGATGCGGGCAGCCCGGGTTCAGATCCCGGGCGCGCACAGACACACTGCTTCTCCGGCCATGCTGAGGCCGCGTCCCACATACAGCAACTAGAA